GCTGGCTCGCTTCCACTCCCCTTCGCGGGCTTGCTTGAGTTTGTCATGTGCCCTCGTGCGTGGCGAAATTGCCACGACGCAGCCCCACTTTGAGCCTTCCCGGCGCACTGGTCATGCGTGGGGTGGTCGTTAGGAGGACCGCGATATGGAGGAGGAAGGAGGGAACAGGGATGCGAGGGAGGAGAGGAAGTAGAAGGGATGTGGGAAGGGGACGTAGGGACTGGAAGGGTATTGAGAGCTAGGATAATGTAGAGACGGAGAGGGATCTTTGGGAGATAAGAGGCAGGAGGGAAGAGGGGAAGCAGGTGGGGGGGCGGGGGGTGGAAGAGAGGGGGGAGGTGGAGCAGGATGAGGAGGCACTGCGGGCTGAGGAGGAGGAGAAGGAGGAGGAGGAGGAAGAGGAGGAGGAGGAGGGTTGGAGTGCGGCGGAGGGAGGGGGAGAGGCAAGGGCCGTGATGATGAAAGGGGGAAGGGAGGAGGGGTTGGAATTAGCCTGTCGAGTGACCCAATCATATGCAGGCGTGAGTATTGCAAGGCAGGAGGGACGAAGGAAGTGTGATGTGGTGTGCCAAACTGGGGCGGCGCCGCCATGCGAACACTGTCACTGGGGCCTTCGGTGGATTTGAGTGGGGGGACACGAAACGTGTAAAGGATTTGCCGAAATGGAGGCGGGCACCGTATGCGAACCCTGCTACTGGTTCTGGGGCCTTCGGTGGAGCTCCCTTTGGAGCCACGAAGCGTGCAAGGAGAGTGCTGAAATGGGAGCGGGTATCACATGCGAGCCCTGCAATAGGGGGACTTCGGTGGAGCCCATATGTTGTGAGGGGCACTGAAGTGGAGGCGGGCGCCGCTTGCGAAATTTGCCATTGGGGCCCTTGGTGGTGCTCCCGATGGGGCAACGAAGCTTGTACGGGGCGTGCTGAAACAACCCGAGGCGGCTGCTGGGCAATATTGATTGATGATGATGATGGTTATGCTGATGCGGATGATGCTAATGATGATGATGCAGATGATGATGATGACGATGATGATGATGGTGATGATGATGATGATGATTTGATGATGTTGCTGATGGTGGTTCTGATTATGATGCTGATGTTGAGGATGACGATGATGATGCGGATGAGGATGAGGATGAGGATGAGGATGCTGAGTATCATGATGAGGATGGCGATGATGATGAGGCTTCATAATGGTACTGACGATGACATTGATGATGATAATGCGGATGCGGATGATGATAATGATGATGAGGGGATATGATGATGTTGGAGTTGATGATGATGATGACGATAATGATGCTGATGATGATGATGATGATGATGATGATGATGATGATGATGATGATGTTAATGGTGGTGGCGATGACGATGATAACGATGCTGCTGCTAGTGATGATGATGCTGATGCTGATGATGCTGCTGATGCTGATGATGATGCTGATGATGATTATGATGCTGATGCTGATGCTGGTGATGCTGATGAGGCTGATGATGAGGCTGATTGTGATCACGGTGATGATTTGATGCTGATGCACCAAGCTGCTGATGCTCGCGATTGTGGTGCTGATGACGATGACGATGCCAATGGCTATAATGATGATGATGATGATGATAATGATGCCGATGATGATGATGATGATGATGCTGATGCTGATGATGCTGATGATGATGATGTGCATGCTCATGATAATGATGACGATAGTGGTGATGATTATGGTGCTGATGGTGACCATGATGCTCATGATGCTGATGAGCAGGAGGAGGAGGATGATGATGATGATGATGATGATGATGATGATGCTGATCATGATGATGATGATGATGATGCTGATGATGATGATGATGCTGTCGTTGGTGTTGTTGGATGCTCATGACGCCAGTGATGATGCTGATGATGATGCGGGTTATGATAAGGATGGTGATGATGATGCGGACGAACATGCTGATGATGCTGATGACGAGAAATGCAGATGCTGATGCTGATTATAACTATGATGATGATGATGGTGGTGTCGATGTCGTTGATTATGGCGATGATGATGCTGCTGATGCTGATGCTGATGCGGCTGATGATGATGATCGTGATGGTGATGATGCTGGGGACGATGATACTATTGATGCGGCTGTTATGTTGATGCTGTTGCTGTTGATGGGGCGGCTGATGATGCGATTGTAAGCATGATGGTGTTGATGCTGCTGCTGCTGCTGCTGCTGCTGCTGATGATGATGATGATGATGATGATGATGATGATGATGATGATGATAGGTTGATGCTGACGGTGCGTGTGATGGTGACGATTATGATGATGACGATGTTGTTTTTTCATTCAGCGCCGTGGGCCCCTATGTGTGTCTTGTCTTTGTGAGAAGGTGCTCCTGCGAAACTTCTGCCGAGGAATCGTGATTGATCACTCTGATATACAATGACTTTGAAGAAGAGTCGGCGTGCGGTGACTTCGACCGGGACGACCAGCGAAGAACGCAGGGCGAGGGGGCCGCACCTAAGGCCGACAGTGGCCCACGGCTGGCCCCGCCGACCGACTCGAGAGTTACGGCCGACTGGAGGAAACGATATTAGTGTCTCGTGCGTTTCAACATCGAGCGCAACCTAGCACTATGTATCAGAGTGTTCCAGCGGGGGCTGCCCCTCTCGATCCCAAGAGAAATCAACAAAGCTTCAGGAGTCGTGGGTACCCTGGGGGCTTCCGCAATTGTCGCGGGGTGCACCGAACTCCCCTGGGTTCCCAACGCATTGGAGGAAGACGAGGAAGAGGCGAGGACTGAGGAGCCACAGCGAGACGCGGCGCGACGCTGGTCAGGAAGAGTCCCAGGGGGCCCCGAGGTCGAGGGAGGGGAGGAGAAAGAACTATTTTTAGGCGAAACACTCAGTATAACGGCGGGGGTGCCGACAGGCAGAGCTACTGCAAGGTAGCTTGCAGCAGCAGCAGGCTCACGAACCCGCTCAGGTACAGCAGCAGGCTCACGTACCAGCTCAGGTACAGCAGCAGCAGGCTCACGTACATCAGCAGGCTCACGACAATCCATGCCCAAGTTACGTTGTCGGGCTGGTGCTCTAACTTGTCGGGCTCTCACGACACCAGCTGCGCAACGTACTCCTGAAGCTCGCGCTCCATGAACGACGCTGGAGCCTTGCCCTGCTTGCGCTCCATCCCCACCTGAACGCAGGCCGCGATCACCGTCTGGCGCCAACGATCGTCTCGTAGCACAAAGGTGATCCGCTTTTCCTCTTTGTCGTACGTCTTGTCCAGACGGCACATTCGTATCATCTCCGTCTTGTCCTCCACGTTGTGGTCGTTGAGCCACTCCATCATCTCGTTGAGGTGCTTCCCGTTCTGTGCTCCCACCGACTCGCCGCGCTCGTGTAGGCCCGCGATCAAGCCCGCGAACGCCCATCTGTAGGGAGCTCCGTGAGGGTGACCTTTCCCGTCCTTCGTCACCGCCTCCGCGTAGTTGTGTGTCTGTTCCGCCATCCTCAGAGCCTCGACCCCGTCCGACGGGTAGAGAAAAGTGTCGAATAGGCATCCTCCGAGTTCGCGCATGCCCTGGGCCACTCTCAAAAGCTGCTTGACCATCACCAGCAGGAACCGACGAAGCCCTTGATCGCTGACGCCTTGGAGCTTCTTGTCTTTGCCTCCATCCTGGCGTGGCTTGACGCGGCGTGGGTCTGGAGCGCCATCCGTCTTGTCGTCGACGGCCGCCAGCAGCGCGGGCATGGCGAATAAGGTGACGCTCCAGAGGGCGCGGAGCGGGGCGCGGCAAGTGCTCTTCCCGAGCGTGTGTGTAGTATTCAGGTAAGCCTTCAAACTCGAGCCCACATATTCTACATAATCTCCGAAGGAGCCTGCAACTCCCATGCTTGATGGCCCCCACGAGGCCGACATCTCCCAAGACTCCACGAAGCTTGCACGTGTTGTGTTGTACTATCTTTTGAAGCAAATGGACTGCCACAGTTCAGGCATTGGTTCGCAAGCACGCAGCATCTAAGCAGGCACAGAACGCCGTGAGAACCACCGTGGGCCTTCGTCATATGCGCCACCAGCTTCTTCAAGGAGTCAAAGCACAGGCCGCAACCGCCGCCCTGCGCGTCCAGCAAGTCGCACACGAACTCCCCCTCCGGCGCCTCCGCCTCCTTGGCTTTGGGTGCAAGTCTGGTTTTCCATCGTGAGTGACACCTCCAGCAGCTTCGCATCCACTTTCAGAAAAGCATTGGTAACCTCCTCGCAACTCCATAACTCCTGCCAAGCCCTGCCCACCAGCGCCCACTCTTCAAAGAAATCCCCTGTGCCACTGATGCCGTCCAGAAGCATGAGGTCGCGTGTGAACTGCCTGGCGAAAGGGCTGCTGCTCACCGTCGGCTTCCCGTCGACGTTGATCGGCGAGGGCTTGTCCTCCAAGTGTCCCCAGAGAGCTGCGATAACCTGGTGATGAGCCAGAGGGTGTCGAACCATGTCTTGCAACCACCGTATCCTTTGCATAGCCGAAGCCGCCTTCGCAGGAACAACTCCCCATCTTTTCATAAGTTGTTTGTTCGTGAGAACTTTCACGTGTGTGTCATGCCACTTGCGCTCCACCTTCTATGACTCGTAACTTCTTGCAGGTCTGGACATCCAGACGATGAAGCTCAGACCCCGTGAGGACGTAGCTGCACATGCCAGAGAGAGCGGCCCCCACAACCTTGCCCAAGAAGAGCTGTCGTCGTAATGTGTGGGGGCCTTTGGCAAACCAGAACCTACTCATGTCAGCCCATCCTTTTCAAGAGCGTCGATGCGGTAGCCGACCTCGACGTTTGCATTCTCATTCCATACATACCTGCCACCAAGATGCCGTACGTGTGGTTGTGTCTTCCCAGACCCTGGCTTGAGCTGTGCTTTGAATTTCAAGTTCTCAGTCGGCTTGCGCTCAGTGACCACCTCGCGCTTCTTCATGTTCTGCTTGAAGCCCCCCTTCTCAAGTTCCGTGATGAGCGAAGCCTGGCTT